AGACACACAGAGACTCATAGAGACACACGCAGAGACACACAGAGACTCATAGAGACACACAGAGACTCATAGAGACCCACAGAGACACACAGATACTCATTGAGACACACAGAGACTCATAGACACACAGAGAGACGCATAGAGACACATAGAGACTCATAGAGACACACAGAGACTCATAGAGAGACACAGAGACACACAGATACTCATAGAGACACACAGAGACTCATAGAGACACACAGAGACTCATAGAGACACATAGAGACTCATAGAGACACATAGAGACTCATAGAGACACACAGAGACTCATAGAGACACACGCAGAGACACACAGAGACTCGTAGAGACGCACAGAGACTCATAGAGACACACAGAGACAGACAGATACTCATAGAGACACACAGAGACTCATAGAGACACACAGAGACTCATAGAGACACATAGAGACTCATAGAGACACACAGAGACTCATAGAGACACACAGAGACTCATAGAGACACACAGAGACTCATAGAGACACACAGAGACACACAGATACTCATAGAGACACACAGAGACGCATAGAGACACACAGAGACTCATATAGACACACGCAGAGACACACAGAGACTCAAAGAGACACACAGAGACTCATAGAGACACACAGCGACACACAGATACTCATAGAGACACACAGAGACTCATAGAGACACACAGAGACTCATAGAGACACACAGAGACTCATAGAGACACACAGAGAGACATAGAGACACACAGATACTCATAGAGACACACAGAGACTCATAGAGACACACAGAGACTCATAGAGACACACAGAGACTCATAGAGACACACAGAGACTCATAGAGACACACAGAGACACACAGATACTCATAGAGACACACAGAGACGCATAGAGACACACAGATACTCATATAGACACACGCAGAGACACACAGAGACTCAAAGAGACACACAGAGACTCATAGAGACACACAGCGACACACAGATACTCATAGAGACACACAGAGACTCATAGAGACACATAGAGACTCATAGAGACACACAGAGACTCATAGAGACACACAGAGACTCATAGAGACACACAGAGACACACAGAGACACACAGAGACTCATAGAGACACACAGAGACTCATAGAGACACACAGAGACTCATAGAGACACACAGAGACTCATAGAGACACACAGAGACACACAGAGACTCATAGAGACACACAGAGACTCATAGAGACACACAGAGACTCATAGAGACACACAGAGACACACAGAGACTCACAGAGACTCATAGAGACACACGCAGAGACACACAGAGACTCATAGAGACACACAGAGACTCATAGAGACACACAGAGACACACAGATACTCATTGAGACACACAGAGACTCATAGAGACACACAGAGACGCATAGAGACACATAGAGACTCCTAGAGACACACAGAGACTCATAGAGACACACAGAGACACATAGATACTCATAGAGACACACAGAGACTCATAGAGACACACGCAGAGACACACAGAGACTCATAGAGACGCACAGAAACTCATAGAGACACACAGAGACAGACAGATACTCATAGAGACACACAGAGACTCATAGAGACACACAGAGACTCATAGAGACACACAGAGACTCATGGAGACACACAGAGACTCATGGAGACACACAGAGACTCATAGAGACACACAGAGACTCATAGAGACACATATAGACTCATAGAGACACATAGAGACTCATAGAGACACACAGAGACTCATAGAGACACACGCAGAGACACACAGAGACTCAGAGAGACACACAGAGACTCATAGAGACCCACAGAGACACACAGATACTCATTGAGACACACAGAGACTCATAGACACACAGAGAGACGCATAGAGACACATAGAGACTCATAGAGACACACAGAGACTCATAGAGAGACACAGAGACACACAGATACTCATAGAGACACACAGAGACTCATAGAGACACACAGAGACTCATAGAGACACATAGAGACTCATAGAGACACATAGAGACTCATAGAGACACACAGAGACTCATAGAGACACACGCAGAGACACACAGAGACTCATAGAGACGCACAGAGACTCATAGAGACACACAGAGACTCATAGAGACACACAGAGACTCATAGAGACACACAGAGACTCATAGAGACACATAGAGACTCATAGAGACACACAGAGACTCATAGAGACACACAGAGACTCATAGAGACACACAGAGACTCATAGAGACACACAGAGACACACAGATACTCATAGAGACACACAGAGACGCATAGAGACACACAGAGACTCATATAGACACACGCAGAGACACACAGAGACTCAAAGAGACACACAGAGACTCATAGAGACACACAGCGACACACAGATACTCATAGAGACACACAGAGACTCATAGAGACACACAGAGACTCATAGAGACACACAGAGACTCATAGAGACACACAGAGACACACAGAGACACACAGATACTCATAGAGACACACAGAGACTCATAGAGACACACAGAGACTCATAGAGACACACAGAGACTCATAGAGACACACAGAGACTCATAGAGACACACAGAGACACACAGATACTCATAGAGACACACAGAGACGCATAGAGACACACAGAGACTCATAGAGACACACGCAGAGACACACAGAGACTCAAAGAGACACACAGAGACTCATAGAGACACACATAGACTCACAGACACACACAGATACTCATAGAGACACACAGAGACTCATAGAGACACATAGAGACTCATAGAGACACACAGAGACTCATAGAGACACACAGAGACTCATAGAGACACACAGAGACACACAGAGACACACAGAGACTCATAGAGACACACAGAGACTCATAGAGACACACAGAGACTCATAGAGACACACAGAGACTCATAGAGACACACAGAGACACACAGAGACTCATAGAGACACACAGAGACTCATAGAGACACACAGAGACTCATAGAGACACACAGAGACACACAGAGACTCACAGAGACTCATAGAGACACACGCAGAGACACACAGAGACTCATAGAGACACACAGAGACTCATAGAGACACACAGAGACACACAGATACTCATTGAGACACACAGAGACTCATAGAGACACACAGAGACGCATAGAGACACATAGAGACTCCTAGAGACACACAGAGACTCATAGAGACACACAGAGACACATAGATACTCATAGAGACACACAGAGACTCATAGAGACACACAGAGACTCATAGAGACACATAGAGACTCATAGAGACACAAAGAGACTCATAGAGACACACAGAGACACATAGAGACACATAGAGACTCATAGAGACACACAGAGACACACAGATGCTCATAGAGACACACAGAGACTCACAGAGACACACAGAGACACACAGAGACTCATAGAGACACACAGAGACACACAGATACTCATAGAGACACAGAGCCACATAGAGACACACAAAGACTCATAGAGACACATAGAGACTCATAGAGACACACAGAGACACATAGAGACACATAGAGACTCACAGAGACACACAGATGCTCATAGAGACACACAGAGACACACAGAGACACACAGAGACTCATAGACACACACAGAGACTCATAGAGACACACAGAGACTCATAGACACACACAGAGACTCATAGAGACACACAGAGACACACATAGACTCATAGACACACACAGAGACTCATAGAGACACACAGAGACTCATAGACACACACAGAGACTCATAGAGACACACAGAGACTCATAGACACACACAGAGACTCATAGAGACACACAGAGACTCATAGACACACACAGAGACTCATAGAGACACACAGAGACATAGACACACAGAGACACACAGAGACTCATAGAGACACACAGAGACACACAGAGACTCATAGAGACACACAGAGACTCATAGAGACACACAGAGACTCATAGAGACACAAAGAGACTCATAGAGACACACAGAGACACACAGAGACTCATAGAGACACACAGAGACTCATAGAGACACACAGAGACTCATAGAGACACACAGAGACACACAGAGACTCACAGAGACTCATAGAGACACACGCAGAGACACACAGAGACTCATAGAGACACACAGAGACTCATAGAGACACAGAGACACACAGATACTCATTGAGACACACAGAGACTCATAGAGACACACAGAGACGCATAGAGACACATAGAGACTCATAGAGACACACAGAGACTCATAGAGACACACAGAGACACACAGAGACACATAGAGACTCATAGAGACACACAGAGACACACAGATGCTCATAGAGACACACAGAGACTCACAGAGACACACAGAGACACACAGAGACTCATAGAGACACACAGAGACACACAGATACTCATAGAGACACAGAGCCACATAGAGACACACAGAGACTCATAGAGACACATAGAGACTCATAGAGACACACAGAGACACATAGAGACACATAGAGACTCACAGAGACACACAGAGACACACAGATGCTCATAGAGACACACAGAGACACACAGAGACACACAGAAACTCATAGACACACACAGAGACTCATAGAGACACACAGAGACTCATAGACACACACAGAGACTCATAGAGACACACAGAGACTCATAGACACACACAGAGACTCATAGAGACACACAGAGACTCATAGACACACACAGAGACTCATAGAGACACACAGAGACTCATAGACACACACAGAGACTCATAGAGACACACAGAGACTCATAGACACACACAGAGACTCATAGAGACACACAGAGACATAGACACAGTGCTGTGTGCATCCCTACGAGAGTGGGAGACAAGGAGGGGGGACGAGGGGGGGGGACGAGGGGGGGGGACGAGGGGGGGGGGGACGAGGGGGGGGTGGTGACTCTCCCTCCCTCCCCCTCTCTCTCTCCCTCCCCCACCCCCACCGAGAGACGCGCGGCCGCCCTTGTGACGTCACTTTTCGATGACGTCATGTACGCGGAACAGGGAGTGAGGTAAATGACGTCATCGCGAGGAGAGCCTGCGCAGAGAGTGGGGAGAGCGATGATGATGATGAGGAGCAGCTCCATGGAGGAGGATGAGGAGGAGAGGGAGCGACTGGGAGAGGCAATCTACAGCGTGGTGGAGAGAAGTTATCCAGAGATGGCGGACAGGATCACAGGTACACACACACAGTCACACACACAGTGACACACACACAGTGACACACACAGTGACACACACAGTGACACACACACAGAGTGACACACACACAGTCACACACAGTCACACACACACACAGTCAAACACACACAGTCACACACACACAGTGACACAGTGACACACACAGTCACACACACACACAGACACACACAGTCACACACAGTGACACACACACAGTCTCACACAAACAGTGACACACACACAGTGACACACAGTGACACACACAGTCACACAAACACAATCACACACAGTCACACACACAGTGACACACACACAGTGACACACACAGTCACACACACACACAGACACACACACAGACACACACAGACAACACACACACACAGTCACACACAGTCACACACACACACAGTCAAACACACACAGTCACACACACACAGTGACACAGTGACACACACAGTCACACACACACACAGACACACACAGTCACACACAGTGACACACACACAGTCTCACACAAACAGTGACACACACACAGTGACACACAGTGACACACACAGTCACACAAACACAATCACACACAGTCACACACACAGTGACACACACACAGTGACACACACAGTCACACACACACACAGACACACACACAGACACACACAGACAACACACACACACAGACACACACACAGTGACACACACACAGTCACACACACCCCTAGGCTCCCTGATGGAGCTCCGTGCCTCGCCCTCCTCCGCCCCTAGGCTCCCTGATGGAGCTCCGTGTCTCCCCCCCTCCGCCCCTAGGCTCCCTGATGGAGCTCCGTGTCTCGCCCCCCTCCGCCCCTAGGCTCCCTGATGGAGCTCCGTGTCTCGCCCCCCCTCCGCCCCTAGGCTCCCTGATGGAGCTCCGTGTCTCGCTCCCCCCCCCTCCGCCCCTAGGCTCCCTGATGGAGCTCCGTGTCTCGCCCCCCGCCCGCCCCTAGGCTCCCTGATGGAGCTCCGTGTCTCGCCCCCCCCCCGCCCCTAGGCTCCCTGATGGAGCTCCGTGTCTCGACCCCCTCCCCTCCACCCCTAGGCTCCCTGATGGAGCTCCGTGTCTCGACCTCCTCCGCCCCTAGGCTCCCTGATGGAGCTCCGTGTCTCGCCCCCTCCTCCGCCCCTAGGCTCCCTGATGGAGCTCCGTGTCTCGACCCTCCGCCCCTAGGCTCCCTGATGGAGCTCCGTGTCTCGCCCCCTCCGCCCCTAGGCTCCCTGATGGAGCTCCGTGTCTCGCCCCCCTCCGCCCCTAGGCTCCCTGATGGAGCTCCGTGTCTCGCCCCCCCCCCCCCCCTAGGCTCCCAATGGAGCTCTGTGTCTCGCACCGCTCCGCCCCTATGCTCCCTGATGGAGCTCCGTGTCTCGCCCCCCCCCTCCGCCCATAGGCTCCCTGATGGAGCTCCGTGTCTCGCCCCCCTCCGCCCCTAGGCTCCCTGATGGAGCTCCGCGTCTCGCCCCCTCCTCCGCCCCTAGGCTCCCTGATGGAGCTTCGTGTCTCGACCCCCCCCTCCGCCCCTAGGCTCCCTGATGGAGCTCCGTGTCTCCACCCCCCCTCCGCCCCTAGGCTCCCTGATGGAGCTCCGCGTCTCGCCCCCTCCTCCGCCCCTAGGCTCCCTGATGGAGCTTCGTGTCTCGACCCCCCCCTCCGCCCCTAGGCTCCCTGATGGAGCTCCGTGTCTCGCCCCCTCCTCCGCCCCTAGGCTCCCTGATGGAGCTCCGTGTCTCGCCCCCCCCCCTCCGCCCCTAGGCTCCCTGATGGAGCTCCGTGTCTCGCCCCCTCCTCCGCCCCTAGGCTCCCTGATGGAGCTCCGTGTCTCGCCCCCCCCCCCTCCGCCCCTAGGCTCCCTGATGGAGCTCCGTGTCTCGCCCCCTCCTCCGCCCCTAGGCTCCCTGATGGAGCTCCGTGTCTCAACCCCCCCCCTCCGCCCCTAGGCTCCCTGATGGAGCTCCGTGTCTCGCCCCCTCCTCCGCCCCTAGGCTCCCTGATGGAGCTCCGTGTCTCGCCCCCTTCCGCCCCTAGGCTCCCTGATGGAGCTCCGTGTTTCGCCCCCTCCTCCGCCCCTAGGCTCCCTGATGGAGCTCCGTGTCTCGCCCCCTTCCGCCCCTAGGCTCCCTGATGGAGCTCCGTGTCTGGCCCCCTCCTCCGCCCCTAGGCTCCCAGATGGAGCTCCGTGTCTCGCCCCCCTCCGCCCCTAGGCTCCCTGATGGAGCTCCGTGTCTCGCCCCCTCCTCCGCCCCTAGGCTCCCTGATGGAGCTCCGTGTCTCGCACCGCTCCGCCCCTAGGCTCCCTTATGGAGCTCCGTGTCTCGCCCTCCTCCGCCCCTAGGTTCCCTGATGGAGCTCCGTGTCTCGCCCCCTCCTCCGCCCCTAGGCTCCCTGATGGAGCTCCGTGTCTCGCCCCCTCCTCCGCCCCTAGGCTCCCTGATGGAGCTCCGTGTCTCGCCCCCTTTTCCGCCCCTAGGCTCCCTGATGGAGCTCCGTGTCTCGCCCCCTCCTCCGCCCCTAGGCTCCCTGATGGAGCTCCGTGTCTCGCCCCCTTCCGCCCCTAGGCTCCCTGATGGAGCTCCGTGTCTCGCCCCCCTCCGCCCCTAGGCTCCCTGATGGAGCTCTCCGTCACGGAGCTTTCGTCGCTGCTACGGTGCCCGGAGACTCTGCGAGCGAGGGTGGAGCGAGCGGCAGCGGCCATTGACGAGTGAGGCACAGACAAAGCTCCCCCAGGTAGCCTCTAGCAGGGCTGTAGGGGCAAGTGCTGTTAGTAGCGAGTAGCAGCAGCAGTGTCTATGTACTACACACACCACACACACAGACAAAGCTCCCCCAGGTAGCCTCTAGCAGGGCTGTAGGGGCAAGTGCTGTTAGTAGCGAGTAGCAGCAGCAGTGTCTATGTACTACACACACCACACACACAGACAAAGCTCCCCCAGGTAGCCTCTAGCAGGGCTGTAGGGGCAAGTGCCGTTAGTAGCGAGTAGCAGCAGCAGTGTCTATGTACTACACACCACACACACAGACAAAGCTCCCCCAGGTAGCCTCTAGCAGGGCTGTAGGGGCAAGTGCTGTTAGTAGCGAGTAGCAGCAGCAGTGTCTATGTACTACACACCACACACACAGACAAAGCTCCCCCAGGTAGCCTCTAGCAGGGCTGTAGGGGCAAGTGCTGTTAGTAGCGAGTAGCAGCAGCAGTGTCTATGTACTACACACACCACGCACACAGACAAAGCTCCCCCAGGTAGCCTCTAGCAGGGCTGTAGGGGCAAGTGCTGTTAGTAGCGAGTAGCAGCAGCAGTGTCTATGTACTACACACACCACACACAGACAAAGCTCCCCCAGGTAGCCTCTAGCAGGGCTGTAGGGGCAAGTGCTGTTAGTAGCGAGTAGCAGCAGCAGTGTCTATGTACTACACACACCACACACACAGACAAAGCTCCCCCAGGTAGCCTCTAGCAGGGCTGTAGGGGCAAGTGTTGTTAGCGAGCACCTATGAAGGCTACTGACACTGTGGTACACACAGGGTGGGTGGTCAGCACCACGTCCGGCCGCCTTTGTCTCTCCCCCAGTGCTAGCGATGTTTACTCTTTAGCCTCGTGCCGTGTGGAGACATCGCCACCTCGTGGTGACGTCAACACACTGCACGTGGCTGTGTGTGTGTCAGTGTGTGTCAGTGTGTGTGTGTCTATCTGTATGTGTCTGTCTGTGTGTGTCTGTCTGTGTGTGTCTGTGTATGTCTGTGTGTGTGTCTGTGTCTGTTTGTGTCTGTGTGTGTGTCTGTGTGTGTCTGTGTGTGTCTTTAAGAAGGGGGACCGCACAGACTGTAACAACTACAGGGGCATCTCACTCCTCAGTGTGCCAGGAAAGGTCCTGGCAAGGATTATTCAGCATCGCCTTGCTAGGCACGCTGAGGAGAGGCTTGCGGAGCCCCAATGCGGTTTCAGGAAAGGGCGGTCCTGCACAGATGCCATATTTTCTGTCCGTCTGTTACAGCAGAGGTGTAGGGAATTCCAACAAGTCCTACATCTCTGCTTTATTGACCTTGGTCAAGGCCTTTGCTACCATCAGTAGGCCTGGGCTCTGGGTTGTTGTTCGTGCTTTCGGAGTCCCTGACCCTCTGCTCACGCTCATTAAGGACCTTCACGATGGTGAGCGGGCCCGGGTAAAACTACATGGCCGGGAGTCAGAGCCATTCCCTGTACACCTTGGGGTGCGACAGGGATGTCCTCTGGCTCCAACATTATTTCACATCTATTTCGACCACGTAGTTCGTGAAGCCTTCAATAGCTGTACCGGGGGAATCTCCATATGGTACAGATATAATGGGAGTCTGATCGATGCCCAGGTGCGGTCAAGGGATGACTCCCTATTGGTCACCCACGTTATGTATGCTGATGATTTGGTAATAGCTGCTCAGTCAGAGGAGGAGTTGGAGACGCTGCTGCTGAGACTGGAGCGTGCCACTAAGAGGTGGGGCCTTACCATCAGCCCCACCAAAACTAAGCACCTGCCTGGGTATTTTGTACCATCGGACACTCCACCCCCACAACTCCCAATCCGTGATGGGGCAGTTGTGGAGAGAGTGGAGAGTTTCCCATACCTACGCAGTGTGCTTATGACCAGCTCCAGTTTAACAGCAGAGGTCTCATTCCAAATCAGTCGAGCGTCAATATCGTTTCATCGGTTGCGTAACGCTGTGTGGAAGTTACCTGGTCTGTCACTCCGCACGAAGCTTCAGGTCTTCTCGGCCACGGTCATTCCCTTCCTTCTCTACGCTTGCGAAATGTGGACCCCCCTAATGGAACATCTTCGCCGGTTAGAAACATTTAGGCTAGCCTGCCTACGATCCATCCTGGGTTTAACCAGGCTGGATTGTGTGAGGAGCTCACAAATCATCGAAAGAGCTGGACAAAGTCCCATCGGTGAGCTCCTCCGGCAGGCAAGGCTGCGTTGGCTGGGTCATGTAGCCCGCATGCCCAGCCACCGCATGCCCAAACAGCTCTTGTTCAGCCGGATCGAGGGGGCTAAACGGGTGCGGCACGGGCTAGAGAAGAGATGGAGTGATGTGGTACAGGAGGACGTGGAGCTGAGTGGACTTGCCGATGACTGGTACCAGCGGTGTCAAGATCGGCCTCTGTGGAGGTGGCTCGTGAAGGACGCTACTGGGCAGTTGGAGGCAGTCGCCCTCCAACAAAAACGGAGGGCGGAGGAGCGACGCTCACAACAACGAGCGGAGCGCCGGGTGGCTAAAGCACAGCAGGTTGACACAGTAGGGGGCACAGGTGGTGCATCAGCCAGTCATCTCAGTCAGTCGACCCGTGGCACCTGCTGGGTCTGCCCCGTGACCTCCTGCCAGCGGGCGTTCGACACTTCACGTGGCCTCAAGGTGCACATGGCCTGGCACAAGCGTCGTGGTGACGTCACCGCCACTTAGTGGTGAATGGCGGTTGTTGTTGTGTCTGTGTGTGTGTGTCTGTGTGTGTGTCTGTGTGTGTGTGTCTGTCTGTGTGTGTCTGTGTGTGTGTCAGTGTGTGTGTCTGTGTGTGTGTGTGTGTCTGTGTGTGTGTGTCTGTGTGTGTGTCTGTGTGTGTGTGTCTGTGTGTGTGTCTGTGTGTGTGTGTCTGTGTGTGTGTGTCTGTGTGTGTGTGTCTGTGTGTGTGTCTGTGTGTGTGTCTGTGTGTGTGTCTGTGTGTGTGTGTCTGTGTGTGTGTGTCTGTGTGTGTGTGTCTGTGTGTGTGTGTCTGTGTGTCTGTGTGTGTGTGTCTGTGTGTGTGTGTGTGTGTGTTTTGCGCTACGCTGCACTATGAACCCGGCGTCCCGGGTTCGATTCCCGCTCACGGCCAACACCACCGGTGACAATTATCTGAACCGGTCCTGGGCCTCTCCTCAAATGAGTACCTGGTGTAGCGTAGTGAACATCTCTAGCACTGGTGGAGAGACAAAGGCGGCCGGGCGTGGTGCTGGTCACCCACCCCCTCTGTGTGTGTAGCCACAGTGCCGGTAGCCTTCATAGACGCTCGCTAACAGCACTTGCCCCAACAAACCCCCAGATACATCCTCGCTGGCGAATGCAAGAAAATTCCCGTGGAGGGGAATTCGAAAGTCTCCCGTAGACTCCAATGTTAAAGTCTCTACCCATAGACTCCAATGTTAAAGTCTCCCATAGACTCCAATGTTAAAGTCTCTACCCATAGACTCCAATGTTAAAGTCTCTACCCATAGACTCCAATGTTAAAGTCTCTACCCATAGACTCCAATGTTAAAGTCTCCCATAGACTACAATGTTAAAGTCTCTACCCATAGACTCCAATGTTAAAGTCTCTACCCATAGACTCCAATGTTAAAGTCTCCCATAGAATCCAATGTTAAAGTCTCTACCCATAGACTCCAATGTTAAAGTCTCTACCCATAGACTCCAATGTTAAAGTCTCTACCCATAGACTCCAATGTTAAAGTCTCTACCCATAGACTCCAATGTTAAAGTCTCTACCCACAGACTCCAATGTTAAAGTCTATACCCATAGACTCCAATGTTAAAGTCTCTACCCATAGACTCCAATGTTAAAGTCTCTACCCATAGACTCCAATGTTAAAGTCTCCCATAGACTCCAATGTTAAAGTTTCTACCCATAGACTCCAATGTTAAAGTCTCTACCTATAGGCTCCAATGTTAAAGTCTCCCATAGGCTCCAATGTTAAAGTCTCTACCCAAAGACTCCAATGTTAAAGTCTCTACCCATAGGCTCCAATGTTAAAGTCTACCCATAGACTCCAATGTTAAAGTCTCTACCCATAGACTCCAATGTTAAAGTCTCCCATAGACTCCAATGTTAAAGTCTCCCATAGACTCCAATGTTAAAGTCTCTACCCATAGACTCCAATGTTAAAGTCTCTACACATAGACTCCAATGTTAAAGTCTCCCATAGACTCCAATGTTAAAGTCTCACATAGACTTCAATGTTAAAGTCTCCCATAGACTCCAATGTTAAAGTTTCTACCCATAGACTCCAATGTTAAAGTCTCTACCTATAGGCTCCAATGTTAAAGTCTCCCATAGGCTCCAATGTTAAAGTCTCTACCCAAAGACTCCAATGTTAAAGTCTCTACCCATAGGCTCCAATGTTAAAGTCTACCCATAGACTCCAATGTTAAAGTCTCTACCCATAGACTCCAATGTTAAAGTCTCCCATAGACTCCAATGTTAAAGTCTCCCATAGACTCCAATGTTAAAGTCTCTACCCATAGACTCCAATGTTAAAGTATCTACCCATAGACTCCAATGTTAAAGTCTCTACCCATAGACTCCAATGTTAAAGTCTCCCATAGACTCCAATGTTAAAGTCTCCCATAGACTCCAATGTTAAAGTTTCTACCCATAGACTCCAATGTTAAAGTCTCTACCTATAGGCTCCAATGTTAAAGTCTCCCATAGGCTCCAATGTTGAAGTCTCTACCTATAGGCTCCAATGTTAAAGTCTCCCATAGACTCCAATGTTAAAGTCTCTACCCATAGACTCCAATGTTAAAGTCTCTACCCATAGACTCCAATGTTAAAGTCTCTACCCATAGACTCCAATGTTAAAGTCTCCCATAGACTCCAATGCTAAAGTCTCCCACAGACTCCAATGTTAAAGTCTCACATAGACTCCAATGTTAAAGTCTCCCATAGACTCCAATGTTAAAGTCTACCATAGACTCCAATG